CCGCGACGGATATCGAAACGTCAGGCGAATAAAAATATTGTCCCAGCGATCGCGTCTTCTTCTTCTCAAGGGTAAGCCTTCTTGGCTTTGCTACAAATAGAATCAGAAGTCACGAATAGACGCGGATATGCATGTCCCAGGTTCTTTCTGTAAAGAACACAAAGGCGCGATCACTGGGCCAACACTGGTGTAGGTATCGGTGACTTCGGTTGACCGAATTTCCGTTTGCAGTTTGTTTTTGACATTTTACCATAATTTCAATTAAAATTTGCTGGCTTATGAGCGGCTCTGCTAATGATGAGCCGTTTCGTACTCTGCTCAGCAGGCCTGTGCGCCTACCGTTTGTTCATTGCACACTTTTGTCTCAAGACCTTCCTCTTGGTCAATAGGCTTCTCAATCTTCCAGTCTATCATCGTCAGTCCGCCCTCTGCCTGACGGCATAGCTGACTGCAACATCGAAACACTGAGTAAATTCTTTCAGTGTTTCCTTCGTTGGATCCAAAGACTGGTCTCCGAGGTAAAACCCCTGAGACCCCTTGTCTGCAACGCCATCCTTGGTCGCTATGTCGAGTTCTCTGCGGGAGTGACTACCGAACGTGGTGTCTCTGCTTCCGAGACTACTATCCTGCCACCTGGTGAAATGTTGGCTGAGCAGAGTCTGTTGGCCCGATACTTCCAGCAGTTAGACGCCGTAAATCGTGACTCACGCAAGAGCTTGGTGGATATCATTCCTGCCCCTCTTCTGCAGGAACAGTTTTATCGAGGAGTCTTTGCAATCGAGTTAATTCGGGTGAGTTTGTACTAATTCCAGGAAGTGATCTGTATATTCTGCGTCGGTCTACCCCTGGGCTTCCTTTTATAGGCCTGATTTAATTTTTCTACCTCCTAGTTCTCCAAAATTTGCCTCGGGAAAGTGCAACATAATGCAAAAAAGCTAGGAAGAGGTTAGCGCATTCGTTGGTGTTCATTTTTTCAGCTGATTTGTAAATAGACATTCGAAAATGTAGTTGTCTGTCTCGGTGACCGGAACGCTCGCAAGCAGCTACCAGACGACTAGAGAAAACATCCTCATACCGTTTATGTTCATGTTTTTGACTCTATCGGTAAATTGGGACGTATCGCGATAGCTATGTGGTGCCAGCCGATGCTGTAAGTGTTTTGCTTTCTGTGTTGACCACTTCGCCATCGCCTGATGTGGCCAGCTGCGCATGTCCAAAATCCTAAGAAATAACAGGCCACCTTTGTGGATCCCCTGAAAATAATACATACGACGAGGTGAGTGCCTACTGGTCGGAGGCGTTCGAGGTCACGTTCTGTTTGTGTTACGGCCCGCGCCTGGTACTTCTAATTAGCACGAACGCTGAATTTGCCGTCCAGTACCCAAGGCCCGTAAGAGAGAAGCAAAGAAGACCAGTCGAAGAGAGAGAGATAGAGAGAGAGCGTGTACTTAGACAAAGCAGTTTACAAAAATTCACTCGGTAGTAGTACCTCGTGGGGCCACCTGGGGAGCGCGTGAAGCGCGCCACTCAGTCTCACGGGTGCCTGATTTTAGGAGAGAGGACGGGTGGGGCATGTCAGGAAACAAATTAGATCGTAATTATCCTGTAAAAAAAGAACGTTGAAAGGGTAAGTTGGTGCGCGTACTCAAACCTCGGACGGGGACGGTGAGAAACGCTGTAATATCATCGCTAACCCCCGCCGAACGAATGGCGAACGTATGTAGGTCGGGGGAGTGTTCTCTAACCTTGGGCGAGGTCATTGAGGTGCATTTTCTAGTAGAACCACTAACCCCAACTAGAATAAAGTACGAACGAGTAAAGAAGGTTAAAGATTGTGGAATTAACCATACTTAAAATCTGTAAGTAAGCGGTAATTCCCGTTGTTAATTTAAAAAGCCATTTTGCTTAATATACTGATTAAGCGGTTATTGCATGCGGCGCCCCTCGAAGGACCCCTCTGTAGCTCAATGCCATTATCTAATCCCTGCTGGGTCAACGGCCGGCTTCCAGGATACTTGTATATTGCGGGTAATTCAGCCTACTTAAAATTCGTAAGTAGGCGGTTATAAAACATAAGGTCCTTTCGAATACCCAACTTTGAATCCCTACCAATCACTCATATCACAGGCTGGGGGGAATTTATTCAGTCCCCTCTATGAGCAGGCGTCAACGACATGGGACCAATCCGCTATGAGGAAAAATCGATGTTCACGGCGCGCTCTCATGACAGCAGCGTAAGTCGCACTCATGGGCCTTTCTGTAGATGAGTAACCGTGGGAATAGGCGCATTCCCAACAGTTTGGAGTCACCTTGAGCAGTCAGTCAGTTATTACTCTGTTTCATCAATGCACGCTTTCTTTTTCTGCGTTTTTCGCATTTGTCTGGTCCGGTAGGATGTACTCCATCTTTGTTAACTTATTCCATCAGTTTATTATAACGACACCCGTACCTTTATCCGGTTTGCTTATCCTCGCGCAACTGTGCTAACTTCCTTACGTGTGTTTCTTTCATGAATCTCCGGTGTATTGGGATCCTCTTCAGGTCCCGGTAACTATAATTCACCAAACTGCTGGACAATATCTGCGGGGATGGGATTTAGATCGTAAATTTGATTGTAGCGAAATTCGAACTGGGTTTCCAAAGCTAACTGATTAATATTCGAACCACGCACGCAGAATTAAGGACCTTGGGATAATGCCTGAAACAATTTTTTATCAAATGTGATAGAGAAATGGTTGTGTACTTACCGATTTGCATCTTTAGGACGTCTTATTGTAGATCCACTTCGTGCACCCCTTGAAGAAGTGGCGATCTCTACTTTTTCTTCCTATGGGTCTAGTATAGTGACTAAATCCTTGTCTTTCGTTCCCTGTCCCAGGGTGTCCAGAGCGGCAGTGCAATAGTGATGCTGTAGTTCTTCCATCTTTACGCGAGTGCTTTCCTGTCGATTCTCGGCGTATCTCCTCAGGGTTACGGTGATACTAACCGTATGAATACCTCTCTGTGCTCTCCAGTAGTCGGTTGGATACTTGTTTTTTTCCAATAAAGTTTGGCCTCCGGTTATCTTGACGCCGTTTTAACATCTTAAACAAGTGGGCGAGGGGCGACAGAGTGTTTTGGATGCAGCACACGTTTACTAACACTTACAATTAATCCACGCGCCAGTCACCGTCCCTGTCCCGCCCTACTATGATGAAAATCATCCAAATCGACGGTCGAACAGTCGTAGTACTTTCAACAAATAAACTGAAACTATGACTGCTGAGGAACTCTCTGAGAATTTTGGTCACACAAAACCTTAATTTTACCTCTAGTCGAGACGCAGTTTACTGCTCTTATGTTGGCAGGAGAACAGACAAGTATTTCAACAGAATAATGTTTTCCGACTTTTAGTACAATTCTGATATTTTGCATGCGAAACTCCAGTATTTTTTCATGCGGGAGCTCGAGTATTCTGTTCGATTGAGAACTGCCGCTGATGTTAACATTTATCCTTTTTATCAGACGACGGTGAGGGGGGGGGGTAGGGAGTGAAAACTGTTGAGGTTTGGAGTGAGTGCAAATGAACGAATAAGCTGACTTAGGCGCCGTCTGATCCTCGCGTCCATCATGTAACCTGGCAAGAAAGAAGAATAGGCTGATGTAATTGAATTTAATTTAACACCATGTCTTTTAACTATGCCCTTCCCCCATAGTGTTCTACAAGGAGATTCCGAACTTGATGGTTGTTGTCATAATCTGTCTGACCTCCGGCTGGAGCTGCCTGTTCGGCTGTCTACCTATAAAAGAGACGATGCTCTTACCTCCAAAACTCATTTTTACTGCCCCATTGTCTTTCTCTGATACAGCAATATGACAGAATTGCTCACCTCGACGTGGACGACAAACCTATTGCTGATGATATCTTCCTAGCTCTCGCCATTCGGCACGCCAGTTATCCCAGTCGGGTGAGTGTTATGCCCAATATCGCGATAATGATGATGTAAGGGGCAGTTGTTCGATGTATTTGGCTCATAGGTACATAAATTGTGTAAATGTATCGTGCTTGTCACGTATCCAAAACTCCCACCATCCCTGCTTTATTCACCTTCCAGGTCCGACAACTGTTACTTCAAACTAACACCCCCC